ACTTAGAGGCACGAAAATTGTTTAATAATGAGTTTACGTTCAATTCATTCGCCAAAGTCCGTTGTACAGAAAACGTGTCATTATTAATATCAGCCAGTGACTGTGAAATGTCGTCCGACTAATATATAAATGGAGCTCTATACCGAACAATGCACAAAAATTGCGTATAATCTCCATAGTTGGTTAGCGTGCGTAATTGAATTTTTACCAACCTAAAAATTTATTAGTATTAGTAGCATTGTTTCAGTGAAAGCAAATTCGTTATCTACTAAAATCAAATTAGAATTCACATTGGAATATGAGCATGCCCCCCAGAAAATATACTATATCTTGTGGTGTAATATGAATTGTAATGTCACTTCCTGCCATGTTTTCGCCATGAAAAATATCGTTTGAAATACTGGAATATAAACTTTAATAGAAATATATGATAAAATTACCCAAAAGTCCTGCAGGCTTTTCAACCCATGCATGTCTTTGTCCACGATTTTCATATAATGCAATAACTTTTCCCAAACACAATATATTATTAGAAAATACTAATAAAAATCCATTCTTGCATAATGGATGAATATCAGAAATATCTGCAAAGCCAAAGATTAGTTACTAAAAAAAAAAATTAATTAAATAAGTCATTATATTACATATAAACTAAAGAAATATTTTTACCACACTTGCAAATAACTTGTTTAGCACTAATAAATTCATGAAAGTTAGCAAGAAGATCGTAAGGAAATTTCCATTTTTAACAAGATCTATCACAAGTGTAACGTACAAACACTAATATTGCGAATTATAGTGTAACCGGTAACCTTTTTTCATAGCCTATGTTCGCGAATCAGCGTGACCTGTGACATTTTTCTTTGCGAATTATAGTGTAACCGGAGACCTTGTTTTTTCCTTATTAATGCGAATATAAGGTGGGCGGTGTCATTTTTAAATTTTAAAGTACCTTTCGAATCATAGTGTTGGCGGTGACATTCAATAGAGTTTTTCCGGTCCTATTGTTTCCTAATAATATTCCATATACATGTTAGCAACATGTAATCATATGTGGTTGCAACAATAAATTATTATTCATAATTGATGATAATGTGACAATGATTGACACTTTCTCTATAACGAACGTTCTCTATACTAATACCGAATGAATTTCTCGGTCCAAGGGGTTCGATATAGAGAGTTTTGACTGTATTAGAAAATGCAATGTTAGTGAAAAATCACTAGATTTGCAATCTATATCAAACCGTGATTTTTGTATGTAACCTTCTATATAGTTTTCATCTATACTCAACAAATTTGAAATATTATGTGATCTACATGTTGGATTTTAAAAAACCGCCTTCATTCAATTCAGCTTTAAAAAGGAGTCAATTCATGTAAAAAAAAATGTCTCGATTTTTTTTTTTAAATGTTACAATATTTTGAATTGCATGATCAATTTGGTCGTTAATCTTTTTCATTATAATAGTAAAGAACTCAATTTCAAAATACTAAGGCCGGCCAATTTCTAGTTTAAGAAAAACAGCCAATAATAAATAATAAGTTTTGAAGCTTTGAGCCATGACTATAAAACTCATCAGATAACTTTTCAGTATTTTTGAAGCTGAATGCAATTAATTGATTATCACCGTAATCTGCCTGCCACCATATAAAAATCATATGTTGATCATCTGGATCATCTGATTTTGATACGTGTAACTAATGAACCTCATTGATGACAACATAGATTTGCAAAATTAAAGAATTTGTTCAAAAATGAGAATTTTTATTACAGATGAAATTATTCATTGTGAGTAAACATTCATTATTTATATCGTAGATCTTTTTTTTTTAATTTTTTGATTGTTATTGATAGACATAAATCATTGAAAAACATTGATTCTAATGTTCATTGTTTTATTTAACTATGAGAAACAGGGCTAAAAATAGTAATTTAAAAATCTGGATTTTTAACTCGGAAAAAAAAAGTTGCAGGATATTTTTCCTTTTTTTCTTGTATCCGCATAAAAAAAATTTTAATATTTAGAAAGGAACAATCATCTTTTGAATTTCCAAAATAAAAATATTGACTCAATTTAAGCCCTATTTCAAAAAGACTTCTATTAAATTATGTGTATTTTATTTTCTTTATTCAAAAAATAAATTATAAATAAGTAGTTATAGCACAAGAATTTAGATAATTTGACTACTGAAATTGTGACGAGACGTTTATAAGTGAAACAAATATTATGAATCAGATATAGAAGGTTCAGATGATTTGACAATTCAGGTTCAAATGATGATACTTCAAAAGTATCGAATAAAAAAAGAAAAAATAGTGAATTAAGTATAAATCGTGTTAAAATGTAAATAAAAAATGCATTTAAAAAAAAAACAGAAGTTCCCGGTATGTATAGTTAAACATATTAATATATAAATGGTTAAAATATGACAGAGAAAAAAATCAATTTGCAGGAAAAGGTGACAAATAAATATAATTCATATAATTGATATAATGAAATGATTTACTAGATGACAAATGAAGATATTCCAATTTCCAAACTTCCAAGTCTTATTAACCTAGGTCATACTCTTCAAGTTCCTGATCTATTTTCTTTAAATAACACCGTTACATATGAGAATAAAAATTTGGACAAATATTTTGGAATAAAATTTAGGCAAATAAAACTTATTATTACGTAAATCACAAAATTTTCTTATTAATTTGATATAAACCTGAACTCGTTAGGGAATTTAGTTGGTCTTTTAGATGGGTCAACATCCCAACACTTTTTCATCATTTTTGCGTATTCTTTTGGCATATTTGATAAATTGGTAGTAAATCTTACAAATTTCAATAATTAAATGATGGTCATGTGCTTTATTATCAAAAGGTGGATATCTTCCACATCAACATTCCAATGCTATATACATCTGATTATTTTGTATTTTGCTTGTTTTTCGAAGAACTTCAGGTGCAATATATGATATAATTCCATATATTTTGTTTGATGATTCATCATCAACTGGCCCACATAATCCTAAACTGTGATATAACAGCCATATCTTGTACTAGAATTAAGGTTGTGGGCGAAACTCGTCCAGAAATCAATCGACTGAGTTTCGACAGGTACACATTAATTGTTTATTAGAGTTTCGGCAGAGTTTTGACAAGGTATATACTAATTGTTCATTAGAGTTTCGACAGAGTTTCGACAGTCGTTAAGAGGTATCAGCAAACAACCATAACTAGAATATTACCATTGTGTAAATCACAATGTATTAAATCTTTTTGATGTATATCATTTAATGAGTCACATAAATATTTAAATATTGTAATTTTATCTTTAAAGTTAAATTTGAATGATTTTTTTGCAAATAATTTCTTAAATTTCCTTCTGGAAGATAGTTTAGAATCATTGCATAGTTGCTATTTTCTGGGAATTTAGTTATACCATAACAGGAAACAATACCTCCAAATTTAATTTTAATGCTTGAGATTATATGAAAATCAATTAATATATTTTTTTTTAATTTAAAATAATTACTACTGACCTCTTCAAAAAAATTTTTCCCCAATTCATTTGAATTATTTAGTAGTTTTTAATGCTACATCATGAGATCCATAATGATTAAATTCTTTTTGTTTTCATCATAGTCAAATATATGCCTTTTTTCCATGTGGCAACATAAATACTACCAAAACCTCCTTTAGTTAAATATTCCACTTCTTCGAATTGATCAAATAGAATCCATTCAATAATTTGCGTAGGAAGAGATGAGAGCTTTTGACATTCTTGAATAAAATTATCAATGATGATATTTCCTGATGACCATGTATCAAAAAGCTTCTGTAAATGTAAACAAATACAGTTTTCACAAAATCTGACTGAATATCTGCATAATTTGCACTTGTTACATTCTTTTACTTCACCCCATTCATGAATTGTATTATCTAATTCGAATACATAAACAAATATTTCTTTACAATATTCCTTTTCATTCTTTAAAAGCTTATCATTTTCAGCTACAAGTGATAAAAATGCAGCCTTTTGGATCTCTCTGATAGATGTGTTTGATGAAGAATTATCAATTAATTCAGAATAAGTTCTGTACACAAAATCTTTCTGTCTGATGATAATGACAATAATAAACTTTCAAATGACATTTTTTTTTAGTTTTATTATTATTATGAATTGTTGTTTTCTTATCTTCTTTGGAGGTATTATTATTTATTAGTATGATATAATAAAAATAATGTTTTAATCTATGAAGTTATACACAGCCTGCACTAAATAAAATAACAGATAACTAAATGTGTGTGAGGGTCCTTTGTTTTGGCTAGTTTTAAAAATAGTCAAAAATTATAATAAACGCGAATTTAATGGAAAAATTTTTAAGATCAATGTAATTTAATAATAATGATAAAGATGGTATATTAATAGGGATAATGATTGGATTTAAATCTTTGGGAAGAAAAACGTTGAAAGGCAAAATTTTTTTAAAAAAGTAACAAGATAAAGATGATGATGATCTAAAAGAAAAGGAAAAGGAAGCAATTTAATATTTATTAAGATCGTTTTCAAGTATGCAATAAAAAAAATATCATAAGTAATAATGAAGTCATAGTGACAATTAAAAGTAAATACAAATATTTTGCTTGCCTACTCACGTTATACTGTAGATGTTATCAATTGAAAATTATTTCTTCCGTGGTAAGTTTTTTTTTGGTTATATAGAATGTTCTAAATATCACAAATAGAAAGTATTTTAAATGTAAAAAAATGAGAATTAAAAGTAATTTTCACTTAAATTTTTACCCTGGTAATAAAAAGATTTCTCTATTTCATGATTTTTTTTATAAATTAAGACTTGAGTGAAAATTACTGCAATTAGTAATTAGCTAAAGAACTTTTCAAATAAAAAATAAACATTTAAATAAAGTTGCATGTTTCATTCTTTATATTAAAAAAAAATTTAGATCCAAAAATTAAATTATGTATAATGATGACCTTATTCATCAAGTAAAAAATACAACAAATGAATTAAATTGAGCCTTAGCAACAAAAAAATAATTTATAATTTACATTTTTGGACCAATTACCTTGTACAGAGAATGTTGAATGATTAAAAAAATCGATAACAATAGTGATAAAGATAAGATATGATGGTATAATTGTAGCGTTGAGCAAAACTACTTTGTGGAAGTTTTGTTGCATGCTCCATATAAAAATTAGGAAAACATCATAATGATACTATGCAAATTTCATGATTTCGTTTCACTTTGTTGCAGTATACCCATGTGTCATGTGTTATATATGTTATATTTTTTATTTGAGGTAAAATTTAAGATCAATTGGTTTTTTTTTTTTACACAAAAATTATTCATCAGCAACCTTTTTTTTTTATGCGTTTTCTCTTTCAGAATACGTGTCATCGGGTTCCATAAATACTTCACATAATACTCTGTTAATCCCATGTCTTCTTAAAATTTCCAATGCACTATTTGCAGAATTCTGGCCAATGAAATGAAAATCACGTAAATCAAAAATTTCTAAAACGCGCAAGGATATTAAGAAAAAAAAAAAAAAAAAATGTCTTGCTTGCGCTTGAAAATTATCACAAATGTTTTGTATATGCTCGAACACTAGGAAAAATCATTGTTTAGTTGTGTTGAATCAATAAATGTACAATATATTATATTTATATATGGATACACTTTCGTCTAACACTCACTCACTAATCACTTACACTGTTTATTACTTACCTGAACAACTTACATATTTTGCTTCAAGAATTTCTATTCTTCAGAAGAAGAAGAAGAATAATAATTTATTATATTTTAATTTTAATCGTTTTTAATACATAATATTTATTTCACTCTAGCTATACTATGTAACATTTCTTCTTTTGTAATTAGATGACATGTTTTTTCAATTAGACCCAATAAAGAATTGATATTATTTGACCAATCATTTAAAACTTGGTTTGGATCTTTAGGTTCCGCAAAAGAAACAATTCCAGCTGGTCGATCAATCTTTGCATAAATGGTTTTGGAAACCACAAGTTTTGATAAAAAGTCTTCAGTATCCTATTATTAATCAATCAAGCAATTTAATCAGTCAATTGATTCAATGATTTTTAAAATTTTCTAATATAAAATATATTTATTTACTTGATCATTAAGATCCAATAATTGAGACAATCTTTTTGTTCTGATTCTTTTATAATATTTTGCTACAACACGTATATTCTATATATATATATATATAATATTAAATTAATAAACTTTATAACAATAAAAATAATGTAATCATTTTTCTATTTTACGTACATGTTCAATCACTCGTTTATGTAAGTCTTGCCAATGTTTTTCTCCATGTTCATCATTTTGCAAAAAGACCGATGTTTGTCTCAATGCTGTACCATATGTTTCTTGGATCATAGACCATGGAATCAGTTCAGGTGTTATAAAATGCTTGGCAAGTTCACTTTTTTTTTTAATTAAAAAAAAAATATATAATTAATCAATAAATTAATTTAAGAACAAGATTAAAAAATGATAATTTAATAATAAATTACTGGTGTAAAGCCAATTTGACAAGATTAGGATCTTTGTATATACGATTCAATAAATCGCTTTGCTCATTATCATATGGCGAAAGAATAATAAAATAAATTACATTTTCTAAAACCTATTAATTAAAAAAAAATTTACTTTTTAATAAATAAATAAACCAATCAACCAATCACTGTACAAAAATTCATAAACTCACTCCTTTCCATTTAGATTCATCTTCCTTGATTGACGGTGTATCATATACATGTCTATAATATTTACAAACATTCAAATGTTGGTCTTCATGCAATGCATGTTGAATCATTAATTCATAATATCGAAGTTTCAAATCCTACAACATAAATATTAAATATTAAATATAATCTTCAAATACTAAAATGTTAAAAAAAATAATTGAAATATATATATATATATATATATATATATGCATACTTGTTGTTCAACATCTGCAAAAAACTTGGTGTTGATTTTCTTGCTAATAATTTGCATTCTTGTATAATCTTTCTTTGCCAAAGTTAATCGCATTTGTTCTAAAATAAAATCTGTTTTTTCCCTTTTCTCCATTGATCCAAATGTTTCTACCTTATATATATCAAATAAATGTATATCAATTATAACTATATAAACCATAAACCCCTCCCTCCTAAAAAAATAATAATTAAAAAACCTGCAATTCTTGTAAAATATCAGCAGCCTCATTAATTTTGCCGTCTTCCTCTCTGATCTTGGATAATAAACGTGTCAATCTTGCACGTTCAACTTCTACATAAATCTATAGATATATATATACACACATACACATATGTATAAATAAATATAATATGACAGTATTATTGTTTGAAACAAAATCAATTTAATCTACACATACTTTTCCTTCAGTAACTGTACGCAAAGTATCGATTAACTCTAGTTTTGTTGGTTTATCTGGTGTATCATCAAGATAAGTCATGACTTCTTGAACCATTTTTGTGATTGCCTAAAATAATCGAATGAATTGAGATCAATTATTGGAGTGAATTCTCTTCTGATTCTTTCATTATTTCTTTTGTTGCTTGATAAAAAGGCATCTAATTTAATTAAAAAGAATATTTGTACCTGTTTCAATTGTCCATGCTTCTTTGAGAGTAATATTACATATTCATTTAATAATTTCCAGTCCCTTGCCTGATAACATAATTTAACAATGTGAACTAATACACGAGTAGAAGAAGCTAAATCAGCTGCCTAAATTTCAAAAAATTAAATTTTATAATAATTGAATGAAATAACTTTTTTTCCTCCAAAAATAATGAAAAGTAAATACCTGACGTGTTTGCTTTTCAAGTCCCAATAACTGTTCTAAAGCTTCTGAAAGAAGCCCTTGCTATATTGAATAAAATGTTAAATTAGATTTATTTTATTTAATTCAAATCTCATATATATACCGTGGCCAATGTCTCAGTTTCTGGTAACTGTTTATCAACAAGTTGCGTAAAGTCTTGTTCAGGTTTCTCTAATTTTCCTTCAGACATGTTTTTTTTTTTTCAAATCAAAAAATTTTTTTTTAATTTCGATTACGTCATTCAGTAGGACAACTTTATAAACTAAAAAATATAATATTAATATGTAAATCTAAAATATAATTATGTATATTCTCATTGCCATCGTTATAGCAATACAAAAAAAAATCTTACATTTTTTGAGGAAGCAACCAAAAAAACCATAAAAAGTAAAAAATTAACATAATTACTATATAACAACGTTATTGATAACAAATATCAATCAACTCAACTCTATCTTATTATGATGTTTTAATGAATAATCTATTGAACAAAACTTTAATACTATTGAAAACACGTTCAAAAAGAAAAAATTTATTTTTTTAACATTTTTAACCTGATCCATCAAGACTTTTTTCAGATATCAAAAGAAAGGAATAACAATGTTATCGATTGGGAAAATGATAATGATTAGAGATGTTAATCGGTCCTTGACCGTCCGCTCTGGTCCTGGTACGGGAAGTCCTATCTTGAGACCAGTCCAGACTGGACTTATAGTCGATTTTGAGTTAACTTTTTGCTACACTCGTCGATTAATTGCAAGCTTTTATATATACAATGCTCGTCAAATAAGTTATTTTACGAAATCCTGCTTATTGCCTCTTTCTTGTACCTAGAAAGCTTTGGTGAATTTGCAAGCACAATTTATCGTACAAATAACAACAAATTATAATAAATAAAGATGTCCCTTTTACAAAGCAACAAAGGTTTCTATAGAGTTCCTATGTTATTACTTTAGTTTTTGCTTTTCATTGCCGATTAAAATCAGCTGTATGTTTACAACAATTACTTTAACACAATACAATATGTAATAACGATAACTGTTAGCTCTTTGTATAGACGGCCGATCAGTAATAACTGTTAACGCTTAATAATTTTTCCAATGAGTCTTAACACCATATATTTACACTTAAACAATCAAACACGTTTACAAAAAGTTAAAAAAATCAAAATCAAAAATATTAATATTAACATCTCTAATAATGAAGACCTAACAAAATAAGGATCTTAACAATAACAATAAGCAAAATTACGTTACAATCCCAATTCTTTTTTTTTTTTCCAACAATGCGTCTAACGCAAAAATCAGAGCCCTCTTTCTTTCTACACCTTTGATATACTTTGCGACACGAATGGCATATGATAAAAGCGTGTTGTCTTTGCGATTCTTATCTTTTTGTGGTTGTGAATTTGTTGGATATATACCTGGACATGAGTAATTTGGTAATTATGAGTTTACTTGCTATTCTTATTTTTATTATTGCTAATACTTCTATCAATATTATCGTAATTAATTCAGGCCAACATTGTTTATTATTAGCAACCTATTAATCAAGGAAATAAATAATTATTTGAAACAAAGAAAGAATATTGAGAAAAAAATTTTTTTTACCTTTAGTTTGTTTCTGCTACCAAGTTTGCAACCTTATTTTTTCAAGCATTTATTAAAATACTATCCTTTTTTTTTTTAATTAATCCACCTAACATAAAAAGCAGAATTATCTTTCATTTCACATCTTAGGACACAAAATTGCATGCGTCGTCTTTGCGGGCAAGATTTCGTTGTTTGTGCTTTTTTTGTTTACGACGCCAAATCAGGTTAGATTCCTTATCCTTTTTCAGTTGTGTATTTGTTGGAATACTAGGTGCATCTGATTTCAACACTCCATATTCAGACCGTGGCGTCGTATGATCTGGTTGTTCATCAAAAGGATATGGATTCGTATAAGGCAGTAGATATTTGATTATGATTTAGATCTATCTATATACGTTACATCAAATAATGTTTGATTATGCCATTGTGAGGTCGCGTCCATGACGAAATGCGTGACTAACTTTTCAGCAATTTCACTTTAATCCTTTCTTTCCAAATCCAAATCCAAATCAATCTACTGGTCAAGAAAAATAATTATATTATTTTAGGATAGTTCATCATATGTATGTATGTTTTCATTATACGATTTCTGTATCTGCGAAAAGGAAGCTAATTATCACATTCTTATTATGAGAATAATGCATCCTAAATAAGAAAAGAAGAATAGTTTCGATGTTACTCAATGCTCAGCATTAAAGATAACTCAAAGTTCTATCTAGAAAGAGCTTCTCTTTAAAATTCCTGTTCTAATTTCTAATTAAAGGAATCTTTATCTTCTATCAATATATTTTCCTGCAAAGTATTCAAAAAGTTGTAACATAAATAATAACATAAAAATAAATAATAATAATAAACAAACAAACAAACAAACAAACAAACAAACAAATGTGGTGTTGTATTCCTATATCGGTCTTTAATTGAAAAAAATCGAAATCACGAAGGATTGCTTTTTTTGTATATCAAGAAAAAAAAATGAAAATTGATTATTTATAACTCTTCGCAATAAATTATATAGCAAAAATAAATAGTATTAATTGATAAAGAATAACAATCAATGAGTTTAAATTTCAGGAATATCAAACTTCATTTAATATTTATCGTGATATTTATACTAACTAAAGTATTCTCAGATTCTAGTATATCACGTTCTACAACTATTAGCGTAGTGGTAGATAATAAAATTTATGTTCTTGGAGGTTATAGTAGAGGAATAGAAGCTCCAACAGATGCATTATTTTATGTAGATTTGATCAAAGATTTTGATGCTAAAAATGTACCATGGGTAGATAGTGACAAAATACCTGTAAGAACTGCTTGGGGTGTAGGTGCAGTTGGTGGAAAAAACAAATCCACAATATTCTTATTTGGTGGATTTATGGTCAACCCGGCTTCTGATTCTTTGAATTACACCAATTTGCTTTATGAATATGATGTAAATAAAAAAGGTTGGAGTCCTTCAATAACAACCGGTATTACTCCTATCAATCGTTGGGCATCTAGTATTGTGGTAGATGACAAGGGAAAATTGTATATTTTCGGCGGGGCAACAGATAATCGTACTGGATCTACTACTGAACACTTTTTTAACGACGTATACACATTGAATACAGCAGATATGACTTGGGGTCTAGTCTCTGCAATCAATCCACCATTACCAATTTTTTATCATACTTCAACCTTATTGCCTGATAATAGAGTTGTAATTATTGGTGGAAGAGAGACAAACGATACTACAGGTAAATATATTTATGAAGCTGACATTTATAAGGTATATATATATTGTATTTAGATGGAAATTTTAATTATATAATTTCGGAGTTTTTTTTAATTTTAAATTATTTTATAGATAAAAATTTATGATACGAATAGTTTAACTTGGACAACTATGGTAAATATTGTCAATTAAAATGTGAAATTTACTATTTGGCCTAAATTACACCTTGATGAAATTTTTAGACAGCAAATGGTCCATCATCTATCCAACCTCGATTTGGTCATTCAGCTGTACTCTGTAATCATATTTTTTATTTTTTTTTAATTTTTTTTTTGAAAAAAATATCATACTAAAATAAATATTGTATAGCAAATGATGGAAGGATAATTGTTTATGGTGGTTGTAGAGATTCATACGTTACATCGTTCCCTGAAATTATTGTCTTGGGTACAACTACAAATCCTTTTCAATGGTCTGTACCTGAATTTTCACATGTCAATCGTGCTCCATCTCTAAGATTGCATACGGCTAATTTAATCGGAGATCAAATGATAATAAGTTTTGGTAGATTTTTAAAAAATTTTCTTTTTTTTCAACTTTAATAATTAATTAACAAGTACATTCATATATATAGGAAGAATTACAAATAATGTTTCAAAACCAAATTCATCTAGTGCAAACACTTATATACTTGATGTTAAAGATTTTAGTTGGAAAGCAAGTTATACGGCAAATATAACAACAACAACTTCAACAACTTCAACAACAACATCAACAACATCAACAACATCAACAACATCAACACCACCATCATCATCACAATCAGAAATATCAATACCATTAAACACTGTTTACATAGTAGCAATAGTAGTTGCAATTGTTGTTGGAGTAACATTCATTGTGATGGCAACATTCATTGTAAGATATCAAAAGAAAAAAATTACAATCCCAAGTGAAATCATAAAAATGCCCAGTGATGAACAACTTAAACACAGAAAAATTTCATCTTATCCTAATACTCCATCTTATCCTATTACCATATCTTATCCTAACACCTCATCTTATCCTAATACTCTATTCTATTTTTAACAATGTTGGTGATGTTAACTCTATTAAGATTATTTTTTAATTTATCAAAATTCACCCCCCCCCCCAAATTTACTATGATCATTTCAGATTAGCCAGATTTTATTTCTTGTAAAATATATTAATGTGTAAACATTTCAAATAAATCATTTTAATAAAAAAGTGGTTATTGCAACCTTTTTAAAGAAAAGTTTAGAAGGTTACAATAAATAAAAGTTGAAATACACTGCAGATTATCAAGCAGGAATATTTTTAACACTGAGGTTTACTTGTCATACTTAACACTGCAACAGGATTATATTGGATGTGGTCTAGGTAAAGTTTATATAAAAAATTCTCAAAAGTTACTGGCTAAGTTATAAGTAAAATTAATAATACTTTAAAAAACCTTCAAGTTTTCACAAGGTAAAGTTTTTTGTCTCCCAGCTAATATAAAGGTAAAATTAAATCATTAATAATTTATAAACTAGAATATCCTCATCTAGCAAAATGGCAAGGAATTATCTTGCTATTTCAGCATCTAGCATCCCAGTTGAAAGGATTTTCTCTGGTGGTACTGGTTTAATTACATCAACTAGATGCAGTTTGTCTGTAGATACAATTAGGTACCATATTTGGCTTAATTATTGGTGGAAGGGCATTTTAAAAGGTGCAAGTATATACTGTATATAGTGAATTTGAATCAAGTCATTTATCCAGCCCTAATTTGAATCAGATAAAATCATTCATTATATAGATTCAAATCAATTATATATATATTCAAATCAGTCAGTTTGAATCAAATTATATATCCAAGTA